TCATTTAAAATAGGTCTTATCTCAAATCACAGAGATCCATTACCATTTTTTTCATCTTTACAAAAAGTTTTTTTAATCAATTTTCATTTTTAGCTTAATTAGTCGTTGAATTCAAAGTTGTTTCTAGTATCACAATCACTTTTTGGTCCACGGGTAAAGTAATATTAATAATAGCTACTTTTTGTTTTTACTGTTTTATTAATTCAATTACAATTTTTTTTTTTAATTACTATTATTCACTATTATGCGATGAATAGTAATTAATTCTATAGTTCTTTTGTATTATAATATTAATTGAACAAATACTTACGAATCCTATACTAATTTTCATTATAACTATATTTAAGTCTGTCAATGTTCATTTGTCTTTGAAAAAACATGTGGGTGTATGTTGCTCTGTTCAAATAATATAAACGTCATTAGAATTGTATCAACCAAAAAATTGTTTTTAGAGTTTGTATTCTATTTAGTTTTTTTTTTTTTTGCCATAACACTGTTTGTTCAATCTAGTATTTAATATTAATTACTTACCAACACCTATTTAAAACATTAATACGAATTTTGAAAATAAAACTCTAATCTATTTAAAACTTGTAATCAATATTTTTAACTAACAAAAAGCAAATTATTCAGAAAGAAACAAATTATTTATTTTGATACAATTTTAAGTTATCAAATTTTAGAAATGTGTCATTAAAGTATTGAATAAAAAAATTCATTGCTTACTACAGTTTTTATATTCAACCGAGATATTTTATTACTATTTCTTATTATCTCCAAATTTAAATGTTTAATTCAATTTTTTTTTTCAATTTTAGAACCATAAATAACTTATATAGAAAATAATGAATAATATTATAACACATATAGTTAATAAAATTAAATCGGTGTAGAAGAGGGTTTATTTTATTTTATTTTCAAAACTGAAATATATTAACGAATTTATATGACAGTCAGTGTTATAATTTAATATACAACTCCTCATAATTCAATAGCAAAACTAAAGAAATATACAAAAAAGTAATATAAAAATAGAAATCATGATTATGAAAAATCGTTCTAATGTAGTAATTTATGTTACATTGTTATAATTGACGTAATAAACTCAACTTTATATATTAAGACACGAAATCTTGAAGAGTTGCGTGCCCAATATTAATATAATATTTGATTACTAGATTATGTTCGATTAAAAATTTTTACGGCTTACCCTTCATTAAAAATAAGCTTATTTTTAATGAGGGTGTGTGCCTAATACATATTTTAGTGTACATAGGAATTAGAGGTCGCTGAAAAAGGTGGCAGGTTTGTCAAACTTGCTTTTGAAACACGCCAAATGTCGGTTTGATGTATTAAACTATAAACTATAGCTAAGTGAATCGTTTTGTGCAAAAAAAAAGAAGAAAAGTCAAAGTTGATTAAACTTAGATATAAAATATAGCATATAAAATGAGTCATATATTACTATAATCATAGCGCAACTATTATACTCGTTTCATACTTACATTATATACTAACGATTGTCAATAAAAATGTACAAGGTTGTCAACCTTCTGACGTACTCTTTGAACACTTAAACTTTTTCTATGAAATATTTTTATACCGTTTTATTTAAATTACTTATTGTAAAATTATCATAAAATAAGCCTAATTGAAATTTATTTATTCGTAATTACTTTTTTTCTCGTGCCATGGCAATATAACCTTCATAAATTTTAGAGCTTACTTCACTCAATGTTTTAGTAAAACGAAAAGTTAACCGTTTCGCGTAACTTATCATATTTATGATAAACGTTTCATTTGTTAGTCATTGAAGTTTTTGAAAGTAAGGTATAATTCAGTTTAAAACAGAAAATTTTACTTAAGTATACCAGTAGATCACTTTATTTAGATTGATACTTTTGTAACTGTATCCAAAATAATTCATTTTAAGTATTATTTATTCTATAGTAACAATATATGTAAAAAAATTTACTTATTTGCTCTTCAATTTTTCTCTTATTTTCTATTGCGATCGCATAAATTTTTTTGTGTAATTGGAAGCTTACAAATTTATTACTGTATCAGATTTGTAAATAGGCTGAGAGTAATTACTCTTATTTTTATAAATTTTAATGTTTTATTGAAAATAATAAATTTAGCATGATACTCTAAAACTAAGAATTAATTTTTAATGACATTATAAAAATACCTACTTTCAAATTATTTTAGTAACAAAAATTATAGCGATTAACGACTTCTATAAAAAATTCATACAAAACAAGCTAAGCTAAATTTAATTAATTTTTAAAAATAAATTAGTAATTCTGTATACATATTTGGGTGACATGGTCAGCATTTTGGATTCATTAGTGTTTTCTAGATTATAGTGTTAAGCATTGAAAATAAATTAATTATTATTTGAATGTAAATCAATATTTGTTTTACAAGCAACATAATCTAATAAAAATAATCAAAAAAATTATGCTTTAAAGATTCGAAAACTGAAATAGCTCTCTTAAATGTCAAAACATTATTAAACTTAAAAAAGTCTTTAGTTTTTTAATGTTTTCTATTTTAATTTTAATTTAAAAAAATAAAATTAGATATTTATTATTAATTTAAAATATAACTTGTGTGAACAATATTTCCATTTTTTGATTTTACTAATAAAAAGCAAGTAAAAAGTTCTTTAAAAGTATTAGCATTTTGGTGATACGAAATAAATACATATATTAATAATTACTTATTTAATATATATTTTTGTGTATAATTTAAAATATTGTGCATAAAAATCTTTAACATTAATAATAAATATATTTTTTGTAATTTTAAAATTTAGAAACTATTTCGTTAAAGTAAATTGTAATTCTATTTTTAATTTATTCGAGGTTCCAATGTTTTTAGTCAAATGCAATTTTTTTAAATATTAAAACACTGTTCTTTACAAGTTTAAAGAGTGTTGAAAAAAATTATTTTTTGATGTTGAAGTATCAACTGTGGGTAAACACTATAGTAATTAAATTACCAATATCATTTGTTGTTATTGTTATTTTGCACATCTCTAAGTATTTTTCTCAAACTTCTTTCAAACTCGGATATAAATTAATTATTTAAAAAAATGTTTGCTAAATAAAAGTATAAACGAAAATTTTAAGAAGAATTTTTAAACAAGTCATCCAAATAGATAATTTTATTTTGTCCACATTATACTTTATTATTTTCTCAAACTAATTTTAAAGTCGGTTAAAAATTAAACTTTTCATAATTCTAAACTTAATTAAAAATTTGATTCTTTAATACACTTTTCCATTTGCATTTTTTAAAGGCGTTAGCGATCAATAGGATTTTAAAATTTAGTGTAATATATTTCAATGAAAAATAAACATTTTGTTTTTTTTAATATAGTTTAATGTATTTCAAAAAAGAAGTCTTATAATAAAACATGTATACATAAATTTAAGGAAAGAAATTTACGAATGGAAGAAGTATTTAAAATTTATTATTCAAGATTCTGTCTCATAAAAAATACAGATCAATGTTACAGAAAAGATCTCATTTGGCCATAAATTTTATTCTGTTCTTTCATCAAGTAAATACGATATTTGAAATCGTTTCATTTTATAATCTATACAAATTATAGAATATTCAACGAAAAAATAATTGCAATAAACTTAATAATGAAATAGTAGCTTTTTTGAATTTCTTGAACAAATTCATAATTTATACTTAAAATATTTCTTGAATTAAAAAAATAATCCATGGGTCTATCTCTCGATCCAATTAACCCAAAGGTGTTTGTTCCATTTGCAGAATTAAAATTTAACTTTCGGTTCAGTTTTATATTTTACTTGATAAGAGACTGAAAAAAAATATATGTTTTTTGTATGGAATTATTATACAATTACATAATTAATAATTGACAACAGAAAAATGTTCATTTAAACGAAACAAAATGTTATTAAAAGATATAAAACATAATGTGATGCTAGTTGACACTTAAGTATTGTGTAAAAATTCAATCTCTGATATAAGTTATCGAAACTCCCATTTTTTTCAGACGGTACTTTTAAAATTCGAACATAGTAATAATAATAATAATGTTGTACTTATAATAAATATTATTCAGTATATTGTTCTATAACATTTTCATGCACTAATGCTAACTTTGTTTTACTACTTTTATCGTCTCTTTATTATTATGACTTAAGCAATAACCATTAGACGGTTATTAATATCAGCATATTTAAGTCATAATATTAGTACTAAGGCCTATCGTGAGTTATAGTTTGGTGATTTAAATATAAATTATCATTTATACTTAAACTATCAAACTATAACTTAATAACAATAATTATGACTTTTTAATCAATAATTATTGATTGAAAATACAAAAATTTGCATTATCTTATTAATATATATATATATTCTTTTTTTTGTAAAAATGAGTTTTCAACTCAATTGACTTGTTTTTGAGATGAATAAATAAAATAATAATGAATAAAACATTAAAAAAATTCATCTTGTATTAAAGTATAGGGGTTTTTGGATTATTTTCAAATATTTAAGTATGCAAAGTTATAATAGACATCGGATTTAATATTATAAAAATATAACACTACCTTTATTTTTGACTATATTAATTTTTAGAATGTTCAATCATATGTATGGTGAAATTAATTACTAAAAGTAAATTTTGATATTTTTATATTACTATGATTGTTATTACATATCCCGTTTAAAATTTAATTCTATTTTCTCAGTTAGAAATATTATTTTATTATTATAAAATTTAAGACTCGTTTTATTATTATAATATTATGTATTTTACAGAAAAATTCATTCTCGTTTTCAGACTATCAAACGCATAACAATTATATTTTTAATATTTTATAAATATGTTTTAATTAGAAAATTTTGCTCTTGATCAAATCGATTAAAATAAATTTAAATGTACATTTATTTTAATTAATATTTTATAAAAAAAATTTGTTGGTATTATTTATGTTTGTTCATTTCAGCTTCGTGAATCTGGCTGTCCGTTTTTAACAGATAAAGGCCAGTTACGTGTGCAGGTAGAATGGGAAGAAAGTTACTTATTATTTCAAGCCACTTATCATAAATACGACGATGTAAGCAGAACGCATAACTATCAAATGAGGTAAATATGCATATTTATCTTAAAAACTTGAAACAAAATGCAAATAGCTATTGAATAAGTTTAATTAGTTTTAGTTTTAAACTAATTAGAAAACCTAATTTTTAAAAAACTTATATTCGATGTGTAGTTGAAAGATATTTGTTTCACTCAGTTTTTTGTGAAAATTTGCACGATTACTCCATTTTCTTGTGCTGTATTTTTATTGGACTGATTTGTTCAACGATACGTCAAATAATCACTAAACTTATCTAGTTGAAGCTATCAGTACAATAATTTTGAAAAATCGCTCTCAATCCAGTAATAAAGAGACTTGCCCCAAAAATTATAATTGTTATTAAACAGTTAATGTCAATATTTTTAGTTATTACTTTATATTGAAATAACTTTTAGGGAATTATATTGAATATTACGAAATTTCTATTGATAATATTTCAGACATTTTGTTATGTCAACAACATAACTTTTAAAAATCTTATCATTAACCCAGTTACTGTGTCAGTACCAAAAAAGTCATACCAAAATTTTTTTCTTTTCAATTTTTGATTATGTTTCAAAACACCTTCATTCTTTAAATCTGCGTTAATATAAATCTCATATAATGTACTTTCCGATGAAAAAAAAAATTATCTATCGTAACCAAAAATTAATAAAAAGAAAAGAGTTAGATTGAGAGTGAGAGTTACTTTTGATTCAGAAGTTATGAAATAACATAAATTTAGACTCTCGTTGTTTTTTAAAATCTTACCTGATAATTTTTCTAGTTCTTATAATATCTTAAATAACAATGTAAATCAATTTAGTTCACAACTTTAACACGTAAGAACTTAGACAATGATGATCGCAATATCCGCGTAACGATATCTAGAGCAGAGGTTCTCAAAGTCAAATGAATCACGGACGCCCCTCTAAAGACCTACAGTTTTAAAGACCTAACCCTGATATGTGCTCGCGGACCCCTGGGGGTCCGCGGACCACACTTTGAGAAACTCTGATCTAGAGCACGAAATAAACAAAGCAAAATAAGGATTTGCTCTACCTTTTTATAATATTTATATCCAAAATTCGCAATTGTTTAATTCTTACAGTATAACTGTTTATTGATAAATAAGCATAAAATACAGAAATTATTACAGATGAATGGAGTATATAAATCATTTTGACATTTTATATATAACATTAACACAGTTTTTTAACACATAATATTAGGATTAATACAATGCGTTTAATTATCAAAATTAGAATAAAAAAGATGACAAAAATAATTTATAGATTTCTTTTCGGAAGAAACGGTTTTTAAAAGTGATTATTAATTAATTTATGATAGAATTGTGGGTATTATAATATAACTAAACAGCGTGTGTTTGTTAAATGTTTATTTAAATTATTTTTGTTTGAAAAGGATTATGTCCTTCTAAGAATATAATGTATAAATATTCCATGTTATGGTAGTGACTAGTGTATTATGACATATCTAAAAAATAAATTAAGCTTTCTTTTCATATGATTTTTATCAAAATTTAATGGAAAACTTAAATACAAGAAGGTTTTAAAATAGGCCTCGCACGTATGTCAAAAAAAATTTTTTTGGATGTCTAACAAATTTTATCCTATTCAAATTAAAGTTATTGAACAGTTCTATTAAAAAAAAAGCACTCTACGATTGTTTTACTGTAGGAAATTGATCACCAAAACAAAAAAAACACTTATTTTTAGTAAGATAAGTCCAAACATTTGACATGACGTACATATGTTTATATTATCAAAAGTACGTAGGTAAGCACAGCGGTAAGAGTATAAAATGGATTTCATGTGCTTCGTGTTCCTGTGAGATAGTAATCAATTGTTTAGCAGAAGAGTATAGATTACACGATTACAAGAAATTGCCTGTAAATCTATGGTTATTTTGTAGTAAAACAAATAATTAACAAGCCTTTAATATTTTAGTGATACTTTAAAACATAGCAATTGTAAAATTGCAAGTATACAAATTACTGTTGAATTTACCAAATTCGCATCGAATCGTTTTTTATGATAGTGATATGATATGAATCTCTGTTAGTTATTACCTATATTTGTCCCAACTATGCCGCGACTTTTTTAATCCAAATTACAAATTATCCATTTTAATGTTTCTAATATAAGCAATTAAAAATAAAATAATATATTCCTTACTAAAGAATGTCCATAGTCATATTTATAATGCACAATATAATATACTAATAAATTAATTAACTTAATGTGTTATACAAAAAAAATACAATTATCAGAAAAATGTATTAGATATGTGTTTATATTTATGTTTTTTAATATAAATTAAAATAGTAAAATTAAAAATACTAATTATTATATAACATTGCTACCTAAACATTTTTTTTAAATTTGATTTAAAAATTTGATGACAGTTAATCACGATAGCAAGCACATAATTATTAATAATCGATTGCTACTTTTTACTTCTTAGAACTCATAATAAATTCCATAAGTTATCATAAAATCTAATTTATTATTAATTTTATGTAAAAACGATAGATGAAGACATCAAGATCAACTATTTGAAATTAGTTTAATTTTGTTTGTGTACTTTTTATTTGTGTAGAATTAAACTCGAAAGCAGAGTTTCGTGTCCAACAGATAAAGCCTTTACAGAGTCACCGTTAATATAATTTATGATCATTTCAGTATACATACTTCAGTATGTATTTAACATTTTTAATTTTCGGAATGGAAACCTTTGAGGTATTTTATTTTTCTCCGAAAATGCTTTTTCTAATATTATGAAATATACCATCTTATAAATAATTTTTTCATTTAAATATTGTAGAAATGGTCAAAATAATCGTATTCCCCTTTATTTGTCACACTATTTACATAAATACGTATGGAAATATATTATTCTTTAATATATTTCTGTAGAACCAGATTTTATTAGATATTATGATTTACAGAAACTACAACAATAATTGTTAAAACATGAAAGAAAATGTACTATCAGTGTTATGGAGCAATTGAATATATCAATACAAAACATTACACTTTCACTGAAAAAAGGATGATATAATTTTTCATAAATTTTATGATATAATGACCCTCAGAATCATATTTTCCTTAATTCAATATAAAAGATTTTTTTTCGAAAGAAAGACATTAATTATTTATTACCCTTAAGTTCGAAATACAAGGATTTCAATTCACAGTAATGATTTGTTTAAAGCGACTTCGTCGCATTAAAATTAATCTTATACTGATATTTTCAACGGCCAGACAATTTTGTTTTACGCAATAATGAGCAAACATATTTCATTTTATTATTGAATTTCTTAGTGAAACAATGTTGAATTAAATTTATTATGGAAAAGTTTCAATTATTTTAATAAATAACGTTCAATTGGTTTGTACATACAATTTTGAAACTGAAATTGTAATTGTATTGTATTATTGACTATCTTACTTTGAAATAAAAACTTTTATATTTTTGTTTCTTTATTACATTTATGGAAAACTATACGTTAAATTAATAATTAAAGTTAACAAAACATGATTTTGAGATTTTGAGTCAAAATAGCATCTTTATATTGGTATTATAAATGTTATAATTTATATAATATTAAACAAAATACGTTGACATTTTTAAAATATCATAAAATATTCAAGTAACTATATAGGTTTCGAGAGTAATATATCAAGATCAACTTGAAAAAAAAAATTAACTAAAAATGAATTCATTAAGAAATTTCATGCGAATAAACTTAACCCTTTAGGTCAAACTTATTATTTTGTTATGAAATATATGTCAGATACACGTTTAAATGATTTATTAAAGCCTATAAAAGTTTCGAAAGCTAAAATGTATGTCCACCTCGGCATGTTATCGATTTTAAAAAGTGATGAATAATATTATAATAATGGATGTCCTTAGCAACTTTTGATTTACAAAATGAAGCATGTATACTAGGAAATACTATTTTATGCGTATCATGAATTTTCCCAAGATGAAGGATTAACCGTCTCATTGATCATTAATTATATCGTAAAATATACATCTAAATCATATTTTCCTTTAGACAGCTCTCTGGAGATTTAATTTTGACAGCGGATCCATCCGTGCAATTAGTCAATAATTTAAAATTATGAAAATTTAAGTTAGCATTATTATCATCCTTGTCAACTTTTTGTATTTAGGTTATGAAACTATAGTAAATATAAATATTAAACCCCCATGATGATATAAATTTCAAGAATGATTAAATACGAGTAAATCAATTAAGTACATCAATGAATAGGAAACGGTTAAATAAAAAAATGTGTTTAAAACGGTTGATTGTTTCAATTCCATTTAATTAATACCTATTTTCTATTCATCATTTACTTAAATATCGAAACGGGTTTATTCGCTATTATCAAATTGAATAATTTAACCGCAATAACTTTGGCGAGAGTAACAAAATTAAAACAGCTGTAAAAAGCTAAAAGGGACTGAATATAATCTCTTACAATTATAACGTATTTCTTGTTGTGTATTCTTTAACACCACATTAATCAATTTAGGTTACCCGCTGCTTTTAGACCCACCATGAAAATTTGTTAGCTGAAATAATATTAAATTGTTTTTAATAATAAACTAATTGTAGTGTGTTTTTGAGAGAAAAGACTAAGGTTAAGTCTTTTGGACATACCATTTATTTATATAAAATTTTTTTGTGTATTTGGTTGACACATAATTTATAGTTCAACAAAAAGATATAGTTATTTTTCAATTTATTTGATGTAAAATACAAATATGTATTTTTTTTTATGTCTGAACAAATAAAAATGAGACCAATTTTACATAACATGCACAAATAATTAACTTAAAGTGATTTATGATCGTTAGATTAAATTAAATTGAGGTAAAAATTAAAATTTTAAATTAAAATGAATGTAAGCTCATTTAGTTACGTGACAACACCTTGTAAAGTTTTATGTAACATTTTAGAGGTCTATTTTCAATCTCCTGATTGCATTATTGCTTGTTTACTAAAATACAAGTGTTTTAAGAACAAACTAAGAAAAACAACATTCTTGGAGATATATTTCAGCGAACAAAATTTGTTTTGAGAGGTTTTTTGTGGTTATTTTTAAATTATTTTAGAACAGTTATTATTAATGAATAAGAAAAAACAGCGTTTTATAGGTATTAATTAGGTTGTATACCCTTATAACTTAATAAAAAATGATAATGCATGAAATCTAATTTCACTATTTTTAGCGTCAAAAAATTTTTAAGATTATACTAAAATATGTATAATTTTAGAATTAAAGAAATTTTTTATAAAAATATTGTAATAATATCAACATTTTGAGATTTTTACATTTCACTGTTAACAGCAATTATTCCAATATCTAGTTAAAAAAAACATTTTTTTAATTCTTGTAAAATTTTCTATGAGGCATGAAAAACTTATAATTATAGGCATAATCAAAAAAAGTTATAGGGAAAATTTCAGTATTGATTTTTGTAAAATGACCGTCAAAATCAACTGTGAAGGCCACGCGTAGTGGTTAAAATGTAATTTTGTAAGCACCTTTTAATTCTACCTGATTAAAGTTTTAAAAGGGGTTTTTTTTATAAAATTTCATATTCAAAAAAATGTAATTTTAATTTATATTTAACTTGTACTATATAACTAACAACTATGTAATTTTTGTAACTTGAATATTTTTTTAAATTTTTGTGGTAGTCTTAATTGATTTACAAGTTATATTTTGTACATTTGAAATGGAGCCATTTATTTTAAATTTAATGTAAAACCTAAAATAATTGTCAATTTATTATAATCAATGTACTCAATCTACATTGTTAAATGATGTTGTAGATAAATGCTCTGACATAACCGAGTTGACATTACGATAATTTTTCATGAGCTTTTTATGTAAAACAGTTTTAAAATACTTTTCAAATAAAAGTTCTTTTAAGTCATGAGTCGTTTTTAATCGTCGTAATAAGTATTTGAACGATTTTTGTGAAAAAGTACAGTAAAATTTTTAATTTTAGAGAATATATCAATTTTACTAGAAATTGTTTACTGTTTTTAGCAGTATTAATGTTCATTCTCTAGGTAGGTTAGTTATTATTGTATTTTGATTTAAATTTAATAGTAAATCCTTTCACCGAATAAAAGTATTTCTTGATTTTGTTTCTGAAAGATTATTATTTGTGACGTAACAATTTCTAAGAAAAATCATCCATTAGTTCCTATAATTTTCTTCTGGAAGAATCCATTTAGTTTAATTGATATTATATTAATCAAACATAAATTATGATTTAATAAACAAATTAACCTTTGAAGGCTATACGTTGGTGATAGTTTTTCCTTACATGAATATATATATCGTATAGGATTTTAGAAATTTATTGAGTGACATGTTGACCAATTTTTGTCTATTTCGTTATAAAAATTACTTTTTTTATGTTACAGACGCGAGATCACTGCACTCCAAGCTGAGAATTACAGTTTAGAAAGACAACTTTTTAGTTATCAGAAAAGCATGTCTCAAAGTAGAGGATATTCTGATGAACTAGACCCCGCGGAGCAGAGTGTTGTCGATGATCAAGTACCATTCTATGGTGACGACGATTCTATGTTACCGATGAATCAAATGAGTGGTCATGCTCCAGACAGTTATGGACATCATCACCACCACCATCCATGAGAACGGCTATCGTTCCACGAGACCCCCGGTCACTCTTCGCGTCACTACCGATATTCGGATGGTGGCGGTGGCCCTGTCACGTGGACATCAATGGCCAGCAATGTGGTCACCACTGTGTTCAAGAAAGCCCAAAGACGCTTCAGCGTCATCCTCTATAACAGTAATAACAACGCTTCTTTATAAAAAAAAAAGTAAAAATTTATAATTATATTTCTCTTTTATATCTTGAGGCTCTTATGAATGTTAACGACTGCATTACAGACCTTTCTTGAAAACGAACAAAATGTATTCAGGGTGTTTGTCTTGTCAATAACAATGTGTGTAATAGGAGTATAATGTATTTATGTCGATAAAACCTTTTAAACAAACATCTTGTGATAACTTTATCATTTTTATGATTTCTTTTACGATGAAATTATTTAAGTACTATTTAAGCGTTAAAAAATTAATTTGCTTTTTAAAGATCATCTATTATTTATATATTTTCTGTGTAAGTATTTTTATCGTACACTTCTAAATGACGATTTCATGCTAAAACTCAATGAAGATTAACACATTTTTCTACGATGATATTATTTTAAATAAGAGTAACAAATTAAGGTCGATTGAATTAAGCTGAAACTAATTCTTTGGAAATTTTGTACTAATTAGAATAATTCCTCATTTTGGTATTATATTTTCATTAATTAAAACATTGTATTCATTACATGTTGTTAAAATTTTGCAAAGATAACATGATGTTTTGCGATAAAATTAAGTATAATAAATATTATTAAGTGCATAGGAATAAACGGTATCCATATCCAGACACGTAAATATTCAGTCTTATAATTGTATTTTTAAATTTATGGACTTGTAATATATTTATCTATCACAAATAATTTCCCATAACTTTAATGACAATCTATACAATGAAAGAATTATAATTCTGTTAATTTTCAGTGTCCAGATGAATAGATTAATATGATAGATAATATATATCATTTTGATTATTACAAAAACAGTTATAAATTTAACAAAAATAGTTATTCGTTGATAATTCAATGATCTTGTATTGACTAAATGGTGCACAGGAGATTCTTTTAATTATATGATAATCGAACGTCTATGAAAATTTAAATATGAAAAGGAGAGAGTGTATATTTTCTCATTTCCGTGTATTTTGACGTTAAACAAACGAATTATATAATATTAAAAAAGCGATTTTTCTTCGGAGCCTCTATTAAAACATTATTAACCATTAACGTCATTAATAAAAATTTTATTCACAAATAGATCGTATAAAATAATCGAAATAATTGAACAAAAGTTGCATTTTAAACATTAATATAATTTATTATAATTATATATATAGTCGATAAATATTGACTAATTTTGTTTTAACATTATTATATTTTTAGTGAGAATAGGAAAAATCGGTAAAAGTGTAAGTTGTTCTGTATTTTTTAAATAAATTGAATAGTATTGCACTGAAAGCTTTTAGTTGCCATTTTAAATTTTCTTATAGTGAACTGAATTCTCCTCAATAGAACTTAATCTAATATTCTAGCTGTTGAATAATATTTGATATGTGGTAGTAGAATGTTATTTAAAGTTTTTTCACGGTTCAGATGATACAATTGGATCTATCGATCTAGTTGGTAGTACTTATTAACAATTTTCAATCTATTAACAAAAATAAAACGAAAATTATCTACAAAATCGATATTGGTACATATGCAAATGAATACGTTCAACTAACGTTCTTATCCATTTAAAAAGAATGATTTAATAATATAAAATTAACCTTTTAACTTTATTGAAATACAAAGAAATGTTCCATTCATATTCGATTGTTTAAATAATTTTCTAAATATTGATAGATGAACTTTCATTATTTTAATTAAATATCTCTTTATAACAGTGATTTTTATCTTATTTACTGCACAATTAGTCACAAAAAAAAATTCAATAGAAACCTCTTTTTCTCTGTATTATAGACAACAATCTATTACTTGTATCTGCCATCCATGATAATTATTTCCTAAAAACATTCAACATTGTGTATTTACAATCAAACATATGATAGAGGAAAAAAAATAAATAGAAAATGTATATTTTATGTTGTATAAAAGTCTCGGCTGAAGTATATCATTCTAAATATATTTCAATGCAATAAAGGACGCCACTACGATGTTGAATGGTTTTGTGTGGGTTCGATTGTCTAAACAAGGCCATAAATAATTTATTTTTTTATAGACCGACTATTTGTTTGGTCGATTACAATCGTTGTTCAAATATTTCATTTAACTAGGAAAATATGCGAATCATCATTATACGCGACATCCTTACAGTATTAATAGACATTGGCCTTATAATTTCCAACACCTTCGAATGATTCAGAATGTCTGCGCTGAATCAACATCGCTGAGCAATCAAACGAACTTTCATATATTTAATATTATTCGTTCAAGTTTGCCGCATCACGGGCCATACAAATGATTAAATTCCAAAGACCACACGATGGAATCATACGCGGCTGTGTGTTCATACTAAAAACAAAAATATTTTCACTCCAAACAGTCGATAACTTATATACGGCCTCAGAGTAATCATGATTTTTAATATTAACTAGAATTCATTGAGTTTTTTCTCAAAGGTTAAGATAATTAATGAAAATTCAAATTCAATATTACTCTATCCACAATTTTTAGCTTTTTATAATTATAATAATATTTAGCACTCACTGGCGTTTGTCCGATTATGCACTTTAGAAGGCGATCTCGGAAGAAACCTTCGTGTTCATCTCTGAACATGATAATATAAAGCGAAAATATTCTAAAAAAGAAAATGTTTAATGCGCTCGAATACTACTGCTTAACTCTTTTCAAAGGTATCCCATAAAAGCAGAACGTCGAACAAAGTTTACACACTCGAAACACGTCCCAAGAGTTCAAAAGCTCAACGTTGATACACTTAATGTACAAGGAGTTTTATTTTTTATACGTTTTAAATTTTTTTTGTAGTTGATCCAAAATTATATTAGAACTACAGTAAACTTAGGCTCGTTGCATCATGACAAAACGATTTTTTCATTAGTGTCAAATGTGATGTTTTCCTTTTTTGTTTATCTTTCAGAATGATGTGTCCTAACGATGAAAATGTATTCAGGTAAATGACTGCTGTTAGGTATATGGAATCACAAAACGCGCTCGTCGGTTTACTCTAAATACAATGTACTTTATCACCAGATTTGGTACATTTATCTAGCTTTAGGGATCTCTATTATGTATATGCTTGTGTATTGAAGTACTTGGATTCGGGTTTTGGACTTTAAAGCGTGAAAAACAAGACAAATAAAAAAATCATTAGTATTTTTAGTATAGCTGATTTTTGATTTAATCTAAACTTTTTTAGAACATATTTATGATTTCAGAAAGCAAAACTCATTTTTATATAACGTATAAAGGGAATTTAGAGATATACTGCGCACATGGGCAGTGGCCGCAGCGTTTGCGATTTTAAAATAAGGATTCTTATAATTTTTTCTCCGCATATTTTAAAACGAATTTCAATTAATATGGATTTAAACTTTTGTATCTGATATTGTTTATTTTAATTTAAAGTAGGGTGTTCGGTGTGGCGTAAGGACTAGCTTCACAAATTTCTAGGCCGACCGATACACACACAGTGTAGAATTATCTAAGATTAAATAATCTTATTGTAACATTTTAATGAAAAAGATTTAATAAACTCGAATTTTTATTGTTTAATATGTACTAGTATACTTAATTTTACAATAATTAGAATTTTATATTTTAATCTCGCATAATATTAATTATGAAAAATGTATCGATCAAATTGTATGTCTTTATAATGCGATAAAAATCTTTATTTTATACGTTTGCCTTGCTTACGATAATTTTATGCACCAAAATCGTAGTTTCTATTATTAAAATAATCTAATTATATATTTAAAAAAATAATTAAACGTTGAATTCCTCTATGAATTGAGTAATATTAAACTATTCGAGACTTACGCACTACTTCACGTAGTAATCATTTTAATGTATTACACACAAATAATAATTTTTGCCCTATATTAAAAAAGTTTTTAACATCGTGAAGTATCTTCGTGAACAGCCAAAAGTTGAAATTTGTAAGCAAACCGTCCATTTAACCTTTACTTACGCTTCACATAACTACATCTTTATTATTTATAAGGGTGTTTTTTTCACATGGAGATATAATAAAAATACTATTTTACATAAGACATGTTATGGTAAATATTTTGCCAAGCTAAAACTTGATTATTGATTACGTTAGTTATTTATTGGTACATAAGCTAGACAATGCAAATTAATAATACTTGGGAAATTTAACTAGTCAATATATTTATACTTGAACAATAACACTCGAACTATCCATATAATTTACTCAAGTCTAGTAAATTCCTCTTAAACCGTGTTGTATCCTTGCGATAGATTCTATGAAGAGTTCCGCTTGGCTTGTCCAAGAAAGTTTTGCAGATTTCCGGTTTAAAGAGTTTACCCCTCGCAGGGGTGTCATTATTTAACAGAAAACTTTAGGCGTGTTTGAAACCACATTTCAAAAATGAAGTTTAAATATAATTTGTTACTCAATTTTTGGCGAATTTCTTTACAACGTTTCTAAATCCTTTGCAATGAATTTATTAATATACTCTATTTTAAATTCTTATTTTTTTATCTGAGCATAATATATTATAAAATATATTTGTGTATTTTTCAAAAATTATTCGAGTACAATATTGTACTTTGACTTGTTTTCGAGAATTTATATTTTTGGTGGGCCAATGACATAATATTTAGTGGGGTAAAAGTAAACTTACAGGGCAATTGTATTTTTTTTCTTTTCAAGTACACCAAAAAGCTATAGGGATTAAAAAGGATTAGCAATTTTATTTTGATGTATAGTTGACATTTTTATTATAACACTGAAATATAAACGCACAAATTAAATAATACATTGTAATTGCCTTATTTGTTAATTATTGCCTATTGATCCGAAAATTTAGGTTTAATAATACTTTACAACATTATATTTACCACTATTCATCTGTCAATTAACATACTTTAATACTATTATTAAATTCGTTTTTTAAGTACCTATTGTGATATATGTTTCTACTAATTTATTTGTATAAAATATAAGTAGATTGTAAGTAGCTATATTAACCAAATTTATTTTTACTATTGTATTTATATTTATTAAGTAGCTAATGGTAATTTTTCGGTGGTATAGAATTAGAAATCTCTTTTTCGTCAAATCGAAAAAAAAATATCTATTTATATTTTTTCCAAAATAAATAAAAAAAACACTTTTTTAATATATTTTCTTTATTTATTATTTTTCAACTATAAAAATTATTATTACTTATTACTAATTTTTAATTTTGTTTTTAATAAAATTATTTTTAAAACTAATAAAGTCATGGAATGTTAATTTAAAAGTTTGTATAAAAATATTTCCATGCAAAAAATTACTTTGAATATCCTGTTTCTCTTCTTTAGAATTCTACTAGTAAGATACATTGAACACTTTTGACGGTTTAAGCTTTATATACAAAAAGTAATATATTATACAGACAATAATTTTTGAATGCTAATGTTACTGATACAAAATCTGTGGATGTACTTATATCCGTGCCATGACAATCTGATTTGTTAGTTTCTTTAAGGGCTGTTTTTATTTTTACCACTGTAATAGAATTCTTAAAAAAGTCCAACTGTTATATTGTTTTAATATTTCTTTTTAAATCTTTTGTTCATTACAGCTTATGCTTAAATTAAATAGTAGTTTTTCTCATTTAATTAATGTACTGTATTATTTTATTAGACAATTTATGATAGAACTATGTATTACTGATCAAATAAATTTTATCTGATACTATACTTTTTTGTTGTATTTATTTTCCATGTCGATTTATTTTGTGATATCAGTAAGTTTTAATCAGAAAATTTATGTTAAAATTATCACGTACTTATGAATCATATTAACTAAAGAAAAAACGTGTTCAATTATTTTTAAATATTTATTATTTACTGATAATAGTGTATGATCCATATAATAAATTTGTGAATTTTTATTAATTTTAATTATGATAATGAAAAAAATGTGTACGCTTCTTATTTTTACTTAAATGGTCATAAAGTGATTTGTGTACTATTCCTTTTTTAAATAATAGTCATATACAACATAAAGACTACCAGAATACCTGTATCTATAATAATAAAATTAAATAAATTAAAATTCAACTTTTCAGTGTTTATCAAAAAGAAAACAACAATAATTGGTACACAAATATACCGAAACAAGTGTGAAAAAGTATCATTATAATAAATTAAAATACGATTTCATATTATTTAGTTGTTAAAATATAGAAGACAATAAGTGTAGTTAATCGTTTAGTTGAAATAAAACGCATGAAAAATCAGTATTTGACTATGTACCAAATAGTATCAAATTTTTACAAGTGACTGAAAACCGATACGTCACGCGATACCTAATAACTCTATACTTAACAGGACTACAAACAGAAATTTGAACAGAACAGCATAACACTTCGAAGAAATTTTTTCTAACTAATAATCAGAAATGTTATCATGTCCAAATATTCAGCAAACACACTTACTCCATCTCATCTTAGTAAGTTTTCTAAAATCGCATAAAAAATAATAATCGATTTAATTGTACGTAATCTGGTGATAATTATGACTGTTTTTGTTACCGTATAGTCTGGTACTTTAAAAACTGACATCACATCAAAATATTCATCGTAATTAATTTAATCTGTTTTATTTGTTTTGAACTGAGGTATAAGATTACAGTTATATATTTTATTCAGAGAAGTCAGTAATTTATTTCTATATTCTTCGTTCCTATTTGTAATGTTGGCGTTTTGCAGTGTAAAATGTACATATAGTATTGCGGTTTCCTGGATTAATGATTTAAGCTCACTGTACTTATTTACCTTATATAGCAAACTTTCATATATTTAAATATTTCGTTTATTTCACAGGAACTTACATACTATGATTTATTATAACACAAACGTATAACTAATGTTTCCAGAACTTCGGTAATTATTACGCTTCTACTTCTCTAGAAATTATTAAAAAAGAAAACATTTTAACAACATAAAAAATATTTATATATTTAAAATATGTATATATATTACAAAACAAAAACTGCTATATACATTCGAGCACTAATGACATGAGGTATTTTAATTTTGTATCGTAAAGGAATATAATAAGAATCACAAACTTTGGAAATTTCTTNATTACAAAACAAAAACTGCTATATACATTCGAGCACTAATGACATGAGGTATTTTAATTTTGTATCGTAAAGGAATATAATAAGAATCACAAACTTTGGAAATTTCTTCAATTACATATTCAAAAAAAAAAAAGATGCTCTCAATTTTTTTATTAGTTGTCCAGCATAATTTTATTTAGAATTTTCTTCGCTCTGGCTGAAATGTTAAGGGTCAAGTTTAAAAAGGGAATAATTAAATTAATATATATTTTTGATGAAAAATTTACTAATTAAAATGTTTATAAATCGTATACGTGCCCACCAATAATGTTTATTGACTAGAGAAATAGTAATAATTTTGATACATTCATTTTTCTGACCATAATTAATTTATAAATCAATATTTACAATTTGATTGAATATTATAATTATAACAAGTATTTTGTTATAATTTAATTTTCAACGTTTTCTGTCCCTTTTTCATCATATTTCAATCAGTGGTGAGGTCAAACGACATGTATAAGCTTATCTGAATTGGAATTAAATTCACTCATTCATTATAAATTTATCTTAAAATTTAAAACCATTCCATTTGTATAATTGCAATGTTCGTTTGTTTTAAGTGACTCGTTTTTTAACGACTTAATGGTTTTGAAAATCGCCTGAAAAATAATAAGATTTGTCAAAAGAAAATAGTTTTCAACCAATATCAAACAATTATTTTTTGTTATTACTTAAAATCATTCCAATTATTTTAACTTGAATTTAAATTAATACAACATTGTTATCTTAAAAAAGAAAACATTTAATTGAAAAAAATCGATGTAGAATTTTGTTTAATATCATTGTTGAGTTTAAAAAACATATTTTTCACTTTATTTTATTTAAACTCGTATACAGTTTATTGATTATTCTGTTTGTTATTATTATAACTGAATGAAATCAGTGGAATAATCCTCTTCTGTTCACTTGGCTGTCGTATTCTCAACAAAGCGTAGGAGTCATGTCATTTGGACTATTTTGTATAATTATATACACCATGTATATAGAAAACTTAAATTTTATGGAGTATTTATATCATAACATTCAAAAATTATAGCTGAAACTAAATAATTAATATTCAATGAGTTAAGAAGTACTTGCAAATAAACGATTTGTATATTGTTAATATATTTTTAATTATATCGAAAATCATTTTAATCTAAACTCGAATTAAAATTTGTCCAACGCCTATACGTGATTATCATAAAAATATTGATTATCCCATACATTTTATGGTTTTAAATACTCTATATGTAATATAGTTATACTTCGAATATATTTTTTTTAATTTTTAATTTAAAATACTCAGATATGCTATAATTGTTATTAGTTTTTTTTTTATGTAGAACGCGCAACAAATGTGATCGAACCGTTTCGATTTATATAATTATATAGATTACTATAAACTTGGGCTGCATTAAACAAGGCAAAAATATTTCATACATTCCTGGTGATTGTATGAAATATTTTTATAATTTGAAGCGTTCTACTTTTTTAGTCCACTATGCATTGCCGATGACAACGACAATAATTTAGAGCAGAGCCAAGATGAGTACATAACCCCTACTCCTTTTTATAAACGGGGTTGTTGAAATATATTTAAGGGATCGTCGTTTATCGGCTGTAATCAAACTTATATTAAAAGGATTTTTTATATCAGCGTGGTCGAATTTATGAACTGCCTTCTCATCACTTTTCCAAATAAGAAAAAAATTGAAAAGACACCTTTATTATTAGTCAAAAATGCGTTATATTTTTAGTTTTTTGAAATAACATTAGTTGGCTAAAATCATAATTCCAACTTTATTACAGCAAAAATTATTATACATAGTTTTTAACATAGTTCACTCGGTACTAATTGAGATATTTTGAATATTCTATAAACTGAAATTTTTGAAAACTACCAATTATATTACTTAAGCTCAATTAAAAGAGTTTTTTCAATACGAAACAGTTGATTCCAGTAAGATATCAAAAAAAATAATTTTTACTTAAATGTTATCAAAGCTGTAAGGTTCAAAGCACGTACATAATACATCTTAAATAAAATAAAATCGTGTCCACGTGTAACGACTTCAGTTCAAGAGTCGTTTAAGGGGTTTGACTATCCATCTTAAGTATACTTAAGGATACTCAAGTTAATGAATTAAAATTGAACTGCATAGAAACCTTCTAATAACTAATGACTATTTTGATGTTACACTATAGTCAAATTTTGTTTTATTTTTTTATTTGATTATGTTAGATTGAATCATATTCATACTAAAGTTCATCCCTTTTCTGTTACTGACTAGTAACTTCATGGTAGTTTTTAATTAAATGAACAATAAACATGTTTCTAAATTTATATTATGTTATCTTTTTTTTATTAAAATAATGTGAACGAATTACACGGAAACCAAAGTCAAAAATACATTTAGGATGAAACTTTTTAACATTAGTATATCTGATTTCAGCTTTCCTAATAGGCCAATTAATTTATAAACTATTATTTGGTCATAATGGTTTTTTATACTTTATTCAAGGATTACCTTAGGATATTACACAAGCAATGAAAACATTCATTCAACATGCTCATGTTTCATACAATAACAGGTTTAGTAAAAAAAACGGTAGCACAGTGGGGTCGAGGCACAGTATAGACGTGGCATAGATGAGATAAGTATAGATGATATCTGACAGTGATTAAAATCACTATCATAAGAAACGCTTCGATGCAAATCTGTAGATAGTGTTTCCTTTAGAGAAATTGGTGAAATATTTTAAAAGCAACATGAACTCTTATTTCTTTAATTATATCCTGATTAGTAGTTCTTTGATTTTAAAATATAATATATGAATAAATACTAATTATAGTTTTTAAATTTAGTATGAAATTGTGAGGCCAGCTATGATGTATGGTTAATAGTGTTGGGCGGTTGATAAGAAAGTAGAGCAGAGAATAAGTGTAGCAGAGATGAGAATGCTTAGTTGGATGAGTGGAGTGACTAGAGAAGATAGGATAAGGAACGAGCATATAAGAGGAAGTATAGGTGTTGCGTCAATCGTGGATAAGATGACAGAAAATAGACTTAGATTGTTTAGTCATGGTATGAGGAAAGAAGAATCGAAAGCTGTAAGAACAGTTATAGAAATGAATGTTGAAGGAAGAAGAGATAGAGGAAGACCAAAAAAGAGATGGAGGGATGCTATTGAATGCGATTTGAGGACAGCTGATGTGAGCGTAGAAGATGTGGGAGATCGTGTCAAGTGGAATCTTAGGATAAGGGTGCCCGACCCCAAGTAGTTGGGATTAAGGCAAAGAAAAAGAAAAATATTACCAGATATTCCGGTGGCAATTGACATAATATGATTGTTATTTCGGAATGTACAATTTAGCGTTTAGTTGGGTTTAAATAATATAGCGTCAAATCAATTACCTACTCTATCGGTTGTATCTCAATATACACTACACTTTAATGATACAATAAATAAATAAACTCACACATACACACATATGCATTTATAACATTGTGTCTAATGTAAGTATAACATGATAAAAAGTAACCGTAAAATGAAAAAAATGGAATATAAATTTTATTACTCATAT